CTTTTATCGGAAGCATGCTCCATTTGCCTAATTTAATATTAGATTGTGGCAAATGATAAAGTAGTATTTATTCTTGTTCCTATAGTATTTCCGGCTTATTTACCAAATATTTAAGGTGGGACAGGTGCCTCGTCAACGCTTTGTGATAGATCCTGTGTAGAAACTCGTGGACCGCAAGGACTACGAAAGATTGTGGAAGATCTTTGTTGATGACTAAGATAAATGTGGCTTTACTGGGTTCGATATGGAGTGGTCCTATGAAAAGGTAATCCCTATCGGTAACAATCAGGCATCTTCTAGGTCAAAACAAGTTGAATGCCCAGTGGCAACAGTGCCGATAAGTTCTCGATTTGTCACTTTTGTTGTGAAGTTCATTGATCTATTCTGTATTGTGATTTGTGGCCAGCTTCGTGCTCGTCTTGGTCAGCAAAAGAATCCAGCCGAGCTCATGGCCAAGATATACCAAAATATTGTGTCCCTTCTTAAAAATGATGCTGTCGCTAAAGTAGGAGTTGGTATTCATGGTGACAAAATTAAGTTTTAACGGGATTATGAAGGTCTGATATTAAGTCCATGTTTAGATTTAGTTGAATTGGCCGCGCATTATCATGAGAAAAAGTTATGTGGCACCTCTCTTGATAAGCCAGATGAGGTTTCAGAGAATGAGGAGAAGGGTAAAAGTCTTAAAGCAATGAGTGCTAAGTTTGCTGGCATAATACTAGATAAGGATTATTCTATTATCAGAAGCAAATGGGGTGGGGCTCTAGGATCGCTTTCAAAAATGCAGATAAATTATGCCGCAGCAGATGCGGAAGCTTCATTTGACGTCTGCCTTGGTATACTTGTACAGGCTGGCCTTGTCTCGGCGAACACCTCATCACCTTCATCGATTTCAAGTACCTCGTGTCTTCCCCTATTGGAACGCCTTGTTATAACGACTTAAAAAAATCACTAAAAATGCTACTAAAAAGAGTCAGCAATCTCTTCGCAATACTACTGGGGGCACCACAGAGTGGTGAAAATTTGTATCCGAACAATGAGTAATACGTTGAATGGCAAAAAGGCTGTTCAAAGCGATATGAGGGCAATGCTGGCGTCTCCAACACAAATGTAGCTTGCTATTTAACGGAAATTAATCAAAAGCAGAGTTTAACGTATTCAAAAAGTGATTTCTCTAACAATAGAGGACCGAGTCGAAGTCAAATACTGAAAGTGTGGAGTAAATATCAACGACTCTGTTGATTTCACCACTGCTGATCAAAAATACAGCAACACTTATATCAGATACTTCTTGAAGCACGTTAGGCAGCCCCTGAAAAAAAAAAGAAATTAGATACGCTGTATGTGAGCAAGATTAGTCGCTAGGAGTGTCTAAGGGGAAGCAGGGCGAAAGGGAATATAGTAGGTATACGAAATAATGTACTACTAATAGAGAACTATGCTTTTTTTTTTGTGGTTCGAATCCCAATGGAAAAGTATTTATCTCTTTCTGTAGACAATGATAAAATTCCAAACACCAAAATGTTTGGTCGTGCTGTAAACCATTTTATGCAACAGTGGTGAAAGGTGTTGCGAAAATAAGGGTTTCTCAGTACTGTTCATCAGGTTGGGTTTCTGAAGGTAGAATCTTCTGCTGAGATATTTTTAAAAAGACTAATATTTATACCCGATCATGAATGTGTAAACCGAAGTTATCTAAGCTTCATTTTTTTGGAAATTATTAAACTATTCTCTAACTCTGATCCTTATGTATTACTACCATTCCCATGTTGCTGCATTAGAATGAAATGTGGTACAAGTGAAGCTCCGCTTTCCAGAACCCAAAGACACGTGATCTCACATTGCACCTCTCAGGAGGCGTGATAAGCTCAATAGAAGAATGCATCCAGATCTTTCCAGCTTACTGCGCGCTCTCCAATTGCAGAAAGGCGCCCAGCGCAAGGTGCCACGAAAACAGCTCGCCGCGTGCGTCACAGTGTTATTCCCCGATCCCGCTAACTGCCAATCTTCTGGTCAGCCCAGACATGAGCCTCGCAATAGCTCAAGCCGCTATGTTTCTCCGGGTTGGCAAGACGCACTTGCCCTGTTGGAGCTATCTCGCTACTCTGTCTCACCACGTACGCAAGAAAAGGTGCCAGAGTCACATCCCTCTGCTAATACAGTCGAAACTGAAATAGCAGAGACGATACTTAACCTCGGGCGGTTTCCCATCCATTCTGGTGGCTGGACAATTGCGCTCTCCGTGCTGGAAAGATGGCGACAGCTCCAAGGACCTGCGCACAGCAGGTCTTTTCCAAGTTCGCTATCCGTTGCTGCAGCTGCCAATCTTGCCTACTTGCTTAGTTTTATCAAGTCAGCTGGGGAAGAGGGGGCCTCTCCCTCGTGGCAAGAAGTTCTGGGCCTGTACCAACATGCCGTGCAGCACACCCTCAACACCGCGACTGACTCCCGCACCGATCCCTCCCTGCTTCGACGGATGCGACACACTGCATCGTCCGCACTTCTGCACAATGGGGAGTGGCTGAGGGCGCTGCACCTCTTCACGCACTCCCTCTACCAACGTGACGCGCCCGATTGCGTGTCGACCGGCCACCTGATTCAACACCTCGGCAGGATGCAGCAATGGGAGGCAGCGTTTCAGGTATACAATCTGTGCGTCGCGCTACTGCAGCGCGAGCGAGCGACCCCAAGGTGTAGGCGGTCGGTTGAGCTTCAACAGAAACTGGCTAAACAATGGGGAACCACCCTCTCAATGGCCATGACTGCGGTAAGTAAAGAGGGCCATCAGCCACACCTGTTGACGTCGATGCTGGAGGCCTTGTTGCGTGCGTCGGAAAAGCTGCCACCTCCTTCCTCCTCTGGGTCTGCCTCCTCCACGCCGTTGGTACAGCTGGACGGCAACTTTTTGGACGCGGTACAGTCAGTGGAGAGTAAAACGGAGAGAGTTGAGATCCTGGAAAAGGCTCGGCAGGCGAATCTTTTAGACTACTACAAGCTTATACGTGGCCTGACATCTAAAGGTAAGTTAGATGAGGCGATGGCTGTGTTCAAAGAAGCCATACAGAGCGATCCACCTAGTCTCTCTCGTCGCGAAATAGGTTTGAGTCGTCTTCACTTACTCCACATCAGCCCTCCTGAACGTGTTGAAGCAACGGTTGCGGCGTTACACCAAGTAGCCAGTTGGCGGAGAAGCTCTGAGCTTCTTTTAAACGACTCGGAGGTGGAGTGCGTCCTGGCGAAGGCACTCAAGATAACCACATCGCCTCCTCTACCGTCCTTGCCTGCCTCCTCCACATCCACGTCCGCAAAGGAGTTTCGTGCCTCAAGTTTTTGGATGTACTGTTTACAAATTCTAGAGAAAAACTATCCAGATTTCTGGCATGTCGGCGCCAAGGCCTCTCGTAAACCGACATTGGCGTCGCTTTCCTTTCTATTACGGAACGCGAGCCTTCCATGGCAAATAGCGCTGCTTATCGTCAATAAGCAAAGAGACCTTCCTGAGGAGAGCCCATCTGCAGCACCGCAAAAGCAGTGGGACACACCCTTCCCATCGACCACCATCGCAAGCTGCGCCGCTGACGAAACGCAATCGGTGCCAACGAGGGTCCTTCTCCTCAATGCTGCGGCGCAGCTGTTGTATGATCAAGGGCAATCGTCAAGAGCTGACGAACTTTCTTTGAGCGTCATCCGAGACTTCCAGGTATCTCCATCCGCTACATTCTTGATGCGGTGCTCGTGGTCTATGTTGGCGCAAGTCCTCTTTCAAGGAGACGTGAGTGTGGACTCACGCGTGCTTTTTCATATTCTACATGATCATCGTTCTAATAATAGCCAAGATCCAAGTTATTCGCTCCGCCCGTTTGTCATTGTGTCACTCCCCATGGACGCGCATGCTAACGACGCTAGAGGAAGCTGGCTGCCTGATAGAGTCTTGGCTCACATTAATGGTGATGTAGACTTTAAACAGTTGTTGTCGAAATCCGAGCGGCACGCTTCAGATGCCTCTAGCACAACTCTACACAAGCAACCCTCACACCGATCGTATCTGACGTGCGTTCCCGGATCGATCCATGTGGAAGTACTTAGGAGGCTTGCTGAGCCGGTGCCGTGGGCTGATGAGGAGCTCCGTTGGGAGCTTGTGGTGTCGTACCTCGATCGTCTCGCTCCGCCACTACCGCCACCTGCTGCAGAGGACACGGGTGATTCAGAATCCCGTGAAAAGATACACGAAAGGTATTACTGCGCAGTATATGAAGCAATCCTGACCTTACTGCGGCTTCTACCAGACCTGCCTTTCACAGCTCCATCCAAGACTGACGCTTTGCTCTCGGCCAACCTCGTGTGTGGAGATCCTGACCACTCCCCGCTGGTATTACCGTCAGTGCAAGAGAAAATACGTCTCCTGCAGCAGCTGATTGGGTGCGCAATCACCCAACTGCAATTCATTCCCCCCGCGCATATGCTACTACCCAACCAAACAGATCGACTGCTGCCGCGGCTTCCCGTGGCCGAGGGAAAAAGCGAGCGGGGGCTCGCGGAATCCGTCGCGCGCTGCGCGGTTGCCGAGGCCCTCGTGCGGTCCAGTTGCGAGGTTTTGCAGGGGCGCGCGGCGGGGCCGGGCCACGGCCTGTCCTCCTTGGGGCCAGTGACCTTTCACCGCCTTCTGAAACTGTGCTGCCGCGTGGGGGAGTACCAGGCGGGGTGGGGACCGACGGAACAGCCCCGGGCGACAGGGGGCATCAAGTGGCCAGGAGATACGCCGTCCCTGGAGGCCTGCGCACAGCAACTGATCCAATGGCAAGGCGAGCGCTGTGGGATCCACACCGTCAACCCCGGCAGCCTCCTCCTGCTGTATAAGCTGTGTGCGATTCGAGGTCAGCAATGGGAGCGCGCCTTGCGGGTAACGAGGGACTTGCTTGACTTAGAGGAAAGGGCAGATCGGGCGGAGGAAAAGAAAGAAGGTGGTGGTGTCTACCTTCCTGAGGGCTCCCTCTATAAGCGAGTTAATCGTGAGCCCACTCATCGCGGGAAGCGCGTCGTGCAGGCAAGGCATTATCAGCTGTATCAAAGTCTTTTCGGTTGGGAACACGGTCTGCAGTTGTGGTTTGATCACTTTCCGAATGAAGTCATGCAACGTGTGAGTGAAAACCCTGAGGCGATAAACTGGTGTTTTTCCGTCTCAGACGCCAGAAAGAAGTGATTCAGGGAGCTGTTTTGGGGAACGAGGGGGGTAATAGTTGTCTGTTGCATAGTCTTAATTCGCCCTTTCGTTACCACGCTTTCCCTCACCCCTGTTAATAGGGCTGGTGTCTTCAAAAGAATGGAAAAATGAGTGATGCTTTGTTGAGCATCGTTAACGTTGTCTATTATAAGGTATGTACAAAAGATCACCCTTCTCGGATGTGAAACTGATTTTGCTATACCCTCCCCCTTCATCCATTATCATCATTATACCTCTGTCCTCACTTTGTATTGAATCCAAAGTCATCTACACAGTAAACACTTTCAAGATTCTTCACAGATAGACGTAATAAAAAGAAGGTGAAACTCCTTGTTTCCAACCAGTTCGCTAATCAGTCTATCAGGTAATTAAGACGATAAATTCGATAGCTTTGCCAAATAATCAGCCTTTCGTTCTTTCGGATTTTATTCTAGTGCGCTGATACACACGTTCTGCACTACACTATAGTTGTATGTTTGTCATAATGGCGACTTTCAGCAGCATCGAGATGGAAGATTCTGAAAGGAATGGTATGCTTATGAATAAATACCATGGCTCCCAATCGTCCCATGGCACGATCTTTATCAATTCTGATTCATCCTACGATTGGGCTAATATGTTTATACTACTGGGAATTGCCCTTACTATCTCGGTGATCGTCTGTGGCGTCATTCTCATTGCCAGATACAAGCAGAAGCTCAGGCGACGTAATACGGAACGCTGTCTAAGTCTTGCAAGTGAGTCTAATATGATGTCTAGAGATGGGTATGACTCCAATAGGATAGAATCTACTAACGCCAATCACATTCCACATCCAGGAAACGAAACCTCTTTTGTTAGTGACACCCTCACATCCCAGGTCACGATGCCTTACAGGAATGATAATACTAAAAATACAGTTGTAAACGTGCCCCATGCGGTAAGGAATCCCCATCTAAACGTGCTACAGAGGTTTGCAACTCAAAATGAAAACTGTCCTGTTCCCGAACATCAAGGATATCCCCACCCCAACGCCCGCGAGGAATACAAGTTGAAAGATCAGAAGCGTCTCTCATGTGCGTAACAGAACGTCTTAGACGTGACGAATTCTGTAAATTTCTTATGCCAAAATCATGTTTCACCCTCTAGCTTGAAAGGAAATGTATAAATAATGGTATAAATTCTAATTTATCTAACTATTGTCTTACTGAAATGTTTCTATGTTGTGGAGTTACCATAAGGTTGAAATTTCAGCTGTCTTTTTGATGTTTGTAAAAGTCTTATTAACGAATGTATCATTCCATCACTGATGTTGTTTTATTGATTTATATATTCATATTATCTTGATTGGATATTTTTTCTGAGTTGTGAGTCACGCCTTACATTATTTCCAGATTTTACTCACTTATGTGCATAAATCCCTTTTCTTTATTGAATCAAATTAAGAAAGTGTCATTTTTTTTGTTTCCCGACTTGGATATGTTTAATTCAGTTTAATGAAGTTGTTTACATTGAAATCTATAAAACGCAGTCATTCGAATGTTTTCCCATCGGCTCACAGTTTGAATGTTAAAATGATTCAGAAAATCCTTAGAGCTAGTGTTTTCTACGCTAAATATCTAAGCCCACTAGTTTCATTTCATACTTATGAGTTGCATTGCGTTCTTTCATGTATGTACTTTTGCTTAAATTAACTAATACCATTTTCTATTGTTTGATCGTGTTTTATTCGATTGAAAATTTTAAACTCTTTCCTATGAGGCATTCCTTTATCATCTCCCCTTAATATCTGAGGGGTGAATCTTAACACCTTTGGCTGCTGGAGCTACCTTCTTTTCACCGCTCATTCCTTACATTATTACTATGCATTATTTAGTGATTAAAAACAGCCTCACATAGTAAAATGCAACGCAAAGGGCCAGAATCAAAATTCATCTGATGTGCTCGATACATTTCGTGGCTAGCCTCGCCCTCCACATGATCATTGCGTGATGGAGTGGACCTTTCTGTGGTCAATCAATACATGATATGTAGAGGTGGGATCTCTAATATTATGATTATCTCCTTTCAGCTTTAGTCACGGCCTTAATGGCAAGTGTTGCTGTTCTCATTTATTATACGTCCCTTTTGCCGTAACACAGCACGCTAAGTAAAGGTATGTGTGGTGAAATTTTTCCCTCGTAATGGGAAGTGGAATGGACAGGTTCTGTACATCCGACACAACATAAAACTAGTTCTGTCTTTCTCCCATATACAGGGGGAGGTAAAAAAAAACTTCAATCGGAAATGCAAAGCACGAGTCAAGACCGCAGCGGCGGCAGAGCGTGATGTACTTGAGGCGACTCATCCACTCTCTAACGGGAATGACGAATTACCGGTGTGGTCCTACTCTGCCTGCGCAGTTTTGCATCTATAGTAATAAATCCTTGCGCCTTTCAAATGCCATACTGATACGCTGCAATGTGTATAATCGTGTCTTGCCCTATGCTTTATTATCATGAGTAGCCATGTGTACTGTCAGTTACCTCTTATTTTCTCCATCAAAATGGGTGATTTTTTCCCCTTTACTCAATTTCCTTACTTTTTTATTAATGCCCTTCAGCGGCTTTACGCACACATTAGAGAAGCGCTAAACTGTTTCATGTATATAAACCGATTTCCTCCCCTACTCTAGTCTGCAGCTTACTAAAATGTGAATTTTTTGTTAGTTTATTCCTTTCAGAAAGTCGCTTCGATGGATATTAATGTGTGTTTTTGTACGATAGCATCATTTGTTCCGTCACGTTATCTTTTGCATCGTTATGACTTGCTCAAGAAGGGAGCGGCTTCGGATTTTTGCTCCGCTTTTTTATTTACTTACTGTTTGTGCAGTCATCACAATATTTAATTAATGCATACACAATACGTAATTAACCAGAACAATTCTTTTCCTTTAAGGTGTTAATAAACAGTTAGCAACTTGTTTATCGATAGCATATTTCTACATCTTTCTTCTGACGTGTTGGAACCAACACTAGCATCCATAGTAGCCGTGGTGGGGCGAACTTCGATTACATCAATAGTAGTACTAGAAACACATTTCCACCTATTATAAATATCACCTTCGTTTAATAGGAGCTCGATTCCCCGCCATCATTATTTTTTTCTAACGCCAATATATACATTCAGATATATATATACATATATAAGGATCAGACATTAAGCCAGTGCCTTTGACCGCATTCGTCATAACGGTACCAATCTTTTTTGATTTCTTTCATTGTGGCTCCAAAGAAATTGTCGAACCCTACAAAAAAAAGTTTTTTTATACACAAGAGTGTTCGATATTCTCCCGTATGCACGCCTATGGAAAGTTCAAGCTCAAGCTTACGCGACGAAAGCACTAAGGTCGTCGGAGCGTTACACTCCAACGACGCGGAGAAACCCTTGGCGATGTCGGCCGCGTCTTCTATCACGATCCACCCGCTCCGACACGACCCCCTAGCGATCCAAGGCCTCCCGGCGGGGGCGGGGGGCTGTGCGGGCAAAGGCCCTCCTCCCCCTCTTCCTTCCGATGCGGACGACCGCCTCACGAAGACCTTCACCCCGGACCGCAGCACCTCCCACCGCAGCTCGAAGGTGAGCTTCAACTCCGAGGAGGTCATCCTGACCTCCCGCTACAGCCTCTCCCTCCCGGAGAGCCCGTTCACCTCGGAGCTGCCCTCGGAGGGGGGGCCGCTGGCGTGGACGTTATC